TCTGAGCCTCTGCGTCCGCCGCCTCCAGGGGTTTTTGCCTCCGAGTCCAAAATCACCAAGGCCACGGACCAGACGCCGTCCTCAGTGACCTCCACCCCCAAGACGCCCCGCATGGACTTCTCCCGCGTCACCGGCAAGGGCCGCAAGGACAAGAAAGGTAGCGGCCGGGCTGGGGCGCTCCTGGGCAGGAGCAGATCCCGTCTGGCGAGATCAAAGGGGTCGTTTGCATGTGATTTGCATATGCAAATCCCAGCAGCCTAATTTCCCTTGCAAATCCATCCCGTGGGCATCTCTCCTTCCTCATTGGCTGCTCCTGTCCTCCGCACCCCAGGCATGCTCCCCTCTCCTAGACTCCTCCTCCTTCCCCCTCCAGGTCTCTCATTGGAGAGACACAGAGCGGGGCGCTACCCAATTGGCTGGCAAGGATCAAGTTGGGAGGAGTTTCAGCCCCTAGCCCCACCCACTCTGACATCAGCTATTTGCTTGCCGTTTGCTCGCCCAGACTCCTCCCCAGTCTCTCATCAGAGGGGAGAGAGCGGGAGGCCACCCGATTGGCGGGCGGGTGGGAGGAGGAGGGGCTGCCCTTGGCCGCGCCCTTTCGGGGGTGACGCCTGGCCCCGTCTGTCCGCGCAGCGCTCAGGAAGAAGTCCCTGTCCGTGGGCAGCCTGGACCGGGAGGGGCTGAAGATCGAGCTGGGGGACCAGGTGCTGGTGGCGGGGCAGAAGCAAGGGGTCGTCCGCTTCTACGGCAAGACCGACTTTGCCCCGGGTAAGGGGGGCGGGGGCCGCGGGGGGCCGATCCAGGCCCTAGGGGGGCAGATCCTGGTGGGTGACGCCCTCCCGTCCCGTCTCCAGGCTACTGGTTCGGCATCGAGCTGGACAAGGCTACGGGCAAGCACGACGGCTCGGTCTTCGGGGTGCGGTACTTCACCTGCTCCCCCAAGCACGGGGTCTTCGCCCCCCCGACCAGAGTCAAGGGTGCGCGTGTGCCGGGGGGGCAGCGCCTTCATGCACCTTCCCTGCCGCAGGATCGGAGGCCCCAAGGACTCCCAAGGCGACGGCAGCTCGGCCAAGAAGGTCCATCAGGTCACGAGTAGGTATCAGGCCAGGCCCCTGCCGCACTGGGGAGGGGGCGGGGGGGCTCAGGGTACCCCCCATCCCTTCCAGACGCGTGGGGAGCACTTTGCCAGCTCCCCGCTTTGCAATGGGGCTGGGCGTGGGCTGCTCCTCCCACAGGGGAAACTGAGGCACAGGGCGGGGGGAGTTTATGG